TGATGATGTATGACTTGAGTGACCTGATGGGGCATAAACTGTCATTGGTTGGGTTTATAATTAATGTTGTTCTTATTGCTGATTTGTGATTTTTGGTTCTTGCAAGTTGGATTGTTGCGAACGTTGTGAGGTTAGTATTTTCGAATCTAAGAGCCTTTAAGCGGGGTCTTACTCTCATCCAGGCTACAGTCTGGTAACAATTCACCAAGGCGAGCTAAGCCATAAATGCTGTCAAGACCGTCGCCCAAAAATGAATGTCATCTGACTTTTTAAGGTCCAAGCAGCGCCTTATCAGGTCCAGGTGGGTTCTTGTAATATGTATTTTTTGTTTTAGTGGTTTGTGTTTTAGTGGTTTGTGTTTGTGGTTCGCCTCGATTGTTTTGAGGATTTTCTTTACTAATGGGTCATATTGGATAGGTGTCCAGTTGAATGTGTTTCTGTCATAGTGAAATCTTAGTGCTGACAAATAGGAGATAATTGTGGAAGGGGAGACATCCTTGCTTATTACTTTATGAACTCAATTAGAGAATTTCTTGATATGGGCCATATGCTGCCATCTCTATTCTGCCAGTGATGTTTGATAGCCAATGCTTGATATTGCTTGATAACTACCTCATATGTTTTGTGGTTAGGAGGGTCTGTGTTCAGAATGTCTGCTGCTTGTTGATCTAATGGTTTGTTACCATTAAAATTTATTATCATCTGTGGCTTCCTACTCTTTGTGCTGCTAATTGTCATAGTGTTGTTATGTTTCTTTTTCTTTTGATTTGTCAGTTTGTGTAGATCTATTGTAGTAGTAATGGAATGAGAGAGATTATGTTAGCATATTCGATTGGGATGACAGGTTGGAGAAATCGTGCTGTGGGTTTTTGGTTAGATACTTTTTATGTTCACATCTTGATAGTAGGTTGCATTCTTATTTTGTTTTTCTGGTATATACTCTAGTCTTAATAAGAACAACATTAATTATAAACCCAACCAATGACAGTTTATGCCCCATCAGGTCACTCAAGTCATACATCATCA